GAAAGACGGGGGTCAAAACAGGGGGAGAAATCCCTGCTGCCATATCCAAGAGAGGCTGAATAATTTCACTCTTGAACACATTATTCTTCTGCCATAAATTTAGCACTCTAACAATTTTACTCTAAAACAAAGAAAGTGTAACAAAAGACCTGAGTCATGCCTATATTTCTTGTTATTATCGGTTCTGGCTTTTTTAACTAGCAATGTCAAAATGTCTCGATTGAAGCATATTTAGATCTACAAACAGTAAAAACAGTAAGAATAGTTATAGTGGGTCACACCAAAGATATCTAAGCTACAAATCTGAGGCTGACCCTAGGCAACAGTAAAAGCTCTATGGACATAGTGACAGTCTTCTCTCAACAGAAAATGAAATATATTAAAATGAAACAAATTTATTATCAAATGGCTCTTTTGTACCTTTAGTCTTGAAAGACAGTATGGAAGGAAAAGTATTTTAAGAAAGGATTTTTAAGCATTAGTAAGAATGAAGAAAAGGAATTATTAGTCTCCTAAACTTCTAGAGTAAATATATATGAATGCAATTCTGATCTACCTATGAACCAAAATTATTTATGACAACTGAAAATTGGGCACATACTAGTAAGATGGCTAACTGCTTTTATTAAGAAAATAGCTCAATATTTTGCAAGCTTTCTTGATGAAATGAGGAATTTAAAAGTTTAAACTGGAACACCACTGCCTGCCTATTGAATTTACATACTAGTACTAAAAAAATGTGGATCACATGGAAGGAAAAAAATCAAAATTAATACTTTATACAATTCCATTAGATATAACTACTTGTTCAGCTTGCATTTCTATATCAAATGTTGTCTCTTCTAAATTCTACTACCATTTTGAAAAGTTAGACAGGAATACACAATGGAAAGACATTTTTATTTCGGAGGAGGGGGCAGTTGTATTATAAAGAACAGATAGTTCTTCATAAGATCTTGCGTTTGCTGTCACTAAGATGGTTTAATTATCTAAATTTTATAAAACATAAACAGTGTTTACAACAAAGGAAACAAAGTCTACTTGTCCAAAACTCCAACATGATACTTAACAGAGAGAAGTGCTAAATTTTCACTACATGGAAGACATAATTTAGAACTCCTTGAAAGAAATCTCTGGAGGCTTCCATTCAGCATTACCATATGCTAGCCTTTCTTCTTTAAATGTTGGTTTATAAGCAGTCCTTGACAAGTCCATCAGAGGCTCTAATTTCCCACTTCTAACCAAAACAGGATTATAAAACTATTTATGTGCCTCAGTATCTATCTCCCCCCTTGTACTTTCCATGTCTGAGCCAGACAAAGGAATTGGCAGAGGGTTTTTGCAACTTTAAATGAAATGCTACTGTACTTGTTTGATTTAAAAAGAAAACAAAAAAACCAAAAAAAACCAACAACCCACAATTGCTCAATTGGGTCAAGCTATTCAAGTTGGGCTTTATTCAGCTATTGGTTGATTCAGTATGAAAGGAAAGATATTTTTAAGACACTTAATCATTTCTCTATTGCTCCTTTAGTCCAAAATACACCAGCTTGTACTGAAGATAATGCTACCAAGATAGATATTCCTTGACAAAAAAACCCTACTTGTTCATTTACTCACTGAAGGGGGGAAGACGACAATAAAAGACTGATTACAATTCCCTGTCCTTCCACATGTCCACTTATTTTTTCCCCATCAAAACACATTAACTCAAATATATCCAGTCTTCCTGAAAAGCCTTCCAAAAGTCTAATTAGTCTAACTGGAAGTGTTTTCCAGCATCCCTACACTCAGACAAGCAAAATTAAAGAAATACATGTAAATGTGTAAGTCTATAATTAGATCCACTCTAGCAAGCTGAAAGTGCAATCAAAATTTTTTATATGCAACATTCTAACCATTGTTAGAAAAATCTCTTAAGTGCTTTACCTTGTCATCCCCAGGACAACGGTACAAGTTCTGGAAAGTGCTGATGATGTTATTACTGAATCTTGGAGCAAACACATCCTTTTCTTGTCCAAACTGATGTCGGGACTGTCTCACAATGGAGTCAATGACGTACAGACCAGGTACTTTGTATTCTGGTTTGCACTACAAAAAATGATTTAAAACATGCATATGTGAAAAATAATTTTTTAAAAATTAACTGCAGAGTAAATATTAACAGTCCTTTTTAAACAGGTCAAAGTATTACCAAAATGTTTTCTGTTTAATAAATTATCCTAAAAAAATGAAGCTCTCTCAAAACCAGCAACCTCTATTTTACAAGACCAATATAAAGCATGAAGAAACTCTTAAAGTACATTGGGACAAGCTGTAAATATAATGCAAAATATTTTTGTCCTTCTTTATTATCAAAGTCAACATTAAAATTATTTTTATTTTCTTTTACACTGTTGTAATGAGTGTGTGGTATATTCTCCCCCTGCCAGAACAAAAATTATTTATTTGGACATTTGTTTGATTGAGAACATACGCGACGCTTACTTTAAAACTCTAGAAAACCTGCATAATTTGCAAACAACATGGTATTTTTAAACGTCTGCCAACCACAAGATGAATTACTTAGGTACTGTTACTTATTTAAATACTAAAGCTAAAATTTTAATTGCAAAGTAAAACTGGTTACAGTTATCTGATGCAGTTAAGACAGAATGAAAAGTCATACAAAAACATAATGAAATCATCACTAGAATATCCTATGACACAGATTCACTTAATGAATATTGGTTGTACACACTTATCACAAAAGTCACTACGGAAAACATGGGAAAGTACACCCATTCCCTCTGGCCCAGGTAGTCTGTTAACATATGCAACACACTAAATCTCCAATACAGTGCCGAACAAACTCTTCACACTATTAATTTTGTTATAGCATAGATGCAAACTTCGTATTTTGTAAAGTGCTGGTTTGCTAACATTTGTAACCTTCACAAAGCATTTATTTCAGCTCTAAATATGATTCACTGTATTTACATGTGGCATTCTTTATTTTTAAGAATGTGTGGCATTCTTTTAAGAATAAATGCTAATTACTAAAGTTATAAAATTAAAATGTAATAAGATACATACAGTCTTAAGAAAATCACCTCAACGTACTGTAGCTACAGAAATTTTCACTAAATTATTACCACAAAAATAGTATTCTGCATACAGAACAGACAACTCTTCTCTGTATTTAAATTGATAAAAAACCCAGAAGAAAGAAAATATTGGAGTAGTAAAGAATCAGTAGCAAGCTAATTGAGATGGCACTGACATCACTCTGAACAAGTCTATGGCAGATTTCAACAGACGATTCAGTAGTCTTGAGTTTTAACTTGAAGTGAGTGCTTCCTGGAAAACAAACCAATTACCTTCCAAACATACAAACTGAGTTCATAAATATCAAATGGCTAGCTTTCATCTGCATTTCTCCAATTCTACTAAAATAACGTATTACTTGATGTTATTAATAATTTGCACATTTCACTAAATTGTTCATGAAATACTGAAAATAACACATCAAGCCCACCAAAAGGAAACATCGAATCCAGAGTGATCTCTAACAAAGTTATCAATAACTCAGGCACTTCCAGATTAATTTTGGGACATAAAACCGCAAAGCACTACTGATCAGAGATGGGTAAGATGTATACCTGCTCCCATCCACTTGTAGTATTCAACAGAGATCAAAGGATATTTCTTGATCCTTTTTCTTACAGGTGGAAGAAGTCAGAGATGATGCCCCAAAAGTCATCTACTTGACAAAACACCAGCAACAATACTGAAGTATACTACTAGTCTTCACTACTGCCACAAAACATACTAGTGATACCTTTTCCACACAGGACTGATTTTCTAAAACTGACATAATTCTTTAATTAATTCTTCTGAGGCACTTAAAATACTGGGCTGAAGCTGAGCTCTTCTGTTTACATTGTCCAACCACTGCCAAAAGGCACTGCAGCACACACACAGGACACCATGGAATGAAAGGTAATGACGAAGACAGGTTACTGACACAGAGCAATCCAGACTGCTTGAAAATGGATAACAGAAGAAATATCACTCCCAAAATTGCAACATTCACCAACTAACTTATCTAGCTTGCTAGACAAAATAAAAACACAATATGATCATAATTAACTCCTATTTACAGAAGCAGAAGAAAGTCAGTACCAAAATGATCAAAGAACAGTCAGGAAGTATGCAGTCAAGAAGGAAAGACTCACAAATTGGAATGCAGGCCTTTCTAACCGGAGGCAAAATGCAGTTTTACCCAAGAATAATTAACTGTTGCAAGAAAACAAAATGCAATAAAATTCTTTGTTATTCAGAATCTTTACATTAATACTGCATCTTCCCAAAAAGTAATTCCAGTCTTTGGTCTAAATTCTAGTCTTTTTGTTTAAATAACTAGAGGGAACCACCAAATGAAATGCTACATCTCCTATCACACACAACATTAGGCTGATTGATCATCCTCTGTTCAGCTTCAAAATCTATGTGAAAACCTGGCAGAAAAGCCACAGCAGCTGTCAATCACCAAAACACTGTCAAATCTTTTGCTGTCAGCTGTTCACATGGGCTATGCTGACAGCCTCTTTTACCACTAAATGAATGCATACAGAAGTAGTCTAAAGATAGTTTCCACAGTGATTCAGATAAAAGTACCTTATAACTTCAAAAGGAGAGCCAAGTATTTGTCTTTCTGCATCACAGATCAAATTACTACCACAAATTGAATGTGACTGAAAACTGAAACAAATGAACACGTGAGAGAAATATTGATCCATGTATCTACCTAAAACCTGATGGTCTTCAACACTGTAACCCAGAATGAGGAGATTTTTCTCAGTGCTAACACAAAATACATATGACTGACTTACCTTCTGAATGAACTTCTCAACACTCTGTACAACATGCTTGTAGAACTGAAAAATAAAATAATATTTCAGTAGAGAACAAAATCTGAAGATGCATGTTCAAGTCATGCAATATTGATAGTAAAACAAGAATTAGAAACTTTGGATTATTAGCCAGCAATCTAATACCTACATTTGTCTACATACCTACAGAGCATGGTGTTTTCCTTAGAAAACAGCATCTAAGAAAGTCAATTTCACTTTTTCTTGCCTTCTGAAACTTTTTAATGCTGCTTTTTTTTTAATAGCATGCACTTACTTAGAGAGAACTAAGAGAATAATGTAATTGTTCCTTCAAAAACTTACAATTATTTAATTGTACACAACTGAAGATGTTAGCCTAGTGTTACTAAGCATAGTGCTTGTGTGTAATTAACTTACTTTCCAACTATTAACTTCAATAACCTAAAAACATGAGTACAGGAAGATCTCTTAACACCTAGCGAACAGTTTTGCTTTTAAATTGGCCTGGTTTCTTGGTATTTTTGTTGCTGTTTTTTAATCTCTTAAATCATCATAATGGTTCTATATCATCTCAGTAAGTGCTCTGCATAATTAGATAGTGTTATTGAAATTTTAAGAGTGGAAGCAGGATTCACACAGAATCACACAGAATGCTATGGGTTGGAAGGGACCTCGAAAGATCACCTAGTCCAACCCCCCTGCCAGAGCAGGATTACCTAGAGTACATCGCACAGGAACGTGTCCAGGCGGGTTTTGAATGTCTCCAGCGAGGAGACTCCACAGCCTCTCTGGGCACCCTGTTCCAGTGCTCTGTCACTCTCACAGTAAAGAAGTTTTTTCTGATATTTTCAAGTAAAATACATGATAAAACATTTTTATATCGTCTAATTGTTTTAATTACAGAAATATTTACTGCCAACTACTACTTGTTTATGTTCAATGCAAGTATTTAGCATTTTCATTATATCGCATACACTAACATTTACACAGACTTCTCTTATTTAAGAAATCCAGTGAGTTTCACTCCTCTGTCAATCAGAAAAGTCTCTTTCCAAATTACCCAAAACACCAATATAGGTTTTATTATCTGAAAATGTATCTGCATTCTCAGAGGAATGTAGAAAGGAAGAGAATAAGTTTGATACTTTTTTTCTTTTATCCTATCACCTTCTTCATCTCCAGTTTTCACTGAGTTTCCATTTGTTTTAATGCTTAACACTAATACTATACTTCCTTCCATCATTTTTAAGAGCTGATTTCTGCAGCTCCATTGCTGTTTGGCAATTAGGCTTACTTTGTGTCAAAAAGTCTTTAATTAGCATATCAAAGCTAAAACTTTAGAACAATTTATACCTAAGCAACATAAATAATAAAACCTATGCACAACATCCATGAAAAGCTCTGCTAGGAATTTGTAAAAATGAGATAAACAATTTAACTGATCCAAAGGCACAGGTATCTTAGATATTTTTTTTTGTGGAGGGAGAGGGGAAGGGAGATGGGGAATTGTAGCTTTATATTTTAGCTTTTTATTTATTCTTCAGTTCCCAGGTAATGTCACTATTTTCTTTTTAAACTGAGGGAACAAAAAAAAAAAAAAAAGTCTTTCACATCATTTGATGTGAAACAGAACAATCAAGTTAGTATAACTCTTTCTCACATATGACAAACAGCAAATGAAAGTCACACAACAAATTAAGCTTTCTGCTCCACTCCTGAATATCCCATCAGTATCACATTTGATTGTAACTTGGAAATTGTACACACAACAAGGGAGCTAAAAAGTTCTGAAGCAAGTTCTTTAAGGCATTCAGTTGCTTTGACACACACAATAAATGGAAATGTAGTCAAAAGAAATCAGTGAGTTTCTTACCTTTATAGCCTTGATTGCTGCCTTGGTGATCTGTGTCATTTTGGCTTTAGAAATGGGTGGCTTATAATCATTTAGCGAGTACAACTGCCAAACAAACAAACAAACAAAACCTCAGTTATTAGAAATATGTTCTGCAGTTATAAGCAGTATAAAAATACATACTTTTTCCACAAGAAAATGCTGCTTTTTATTTCCGTTGTATTTTCAGGATATATTACACCAGAAAAGGTATCCCTGTTGAAGAAAAACTAAAAAGGCCCAATAAAATACAATTCAAGATCCAAAATTCTTAAAAGAGAACAGGTTTTTCTTGCCAATAGTCACTATATACCTAGTTTTACTAGCACTAAATACAGTAGACACCTGCAGGTGAAGTTACAAAATAAATGCATATGATATGCAAATACGGTAGCTCTTATTAAGTTTTTCATCCTAGGGCAAAAAAAAAATAAAAAATACTTGACCACCTATATGGAAGCATAACAGAAGCTTAACCAACTACTTACTATATTCATCATCATATGTCTGCTGAATCAAATCTTTTTTATTTTCCATTAAACAAAATGGAAAAAGTTAAGATTCCCTTCATTCACTGTGTTAACTCAGAAGAATAATAATACGAAAAGTAACACAAATGCTCTATTCAGCTGGGTTCTCAATTTTAAACACAGCTTTGTAAATTCATAAATATCTAACCATCAAAACAGCCACAGTACACAGGCAGCAGAGTTTTGCAACAATTTTCTCCCAGGATGCAGTAATAGCTCTACTTGTTTTACTAGTACATACACCACATAGCAGAAGCAATCCAGCATGACAGATATTAATCAGAAATTTGCTACATAGTGAGAACTGTACATAAAGTAACTTCATAGCTATGACTGATAGGTGGCAACTGGAAACAACTCCTTCCTTCACTCTGAGTCAGGACTCCATGTCCAGGGCTATTTATTTGCTGTGAACCCTCCTGATTATTCACAATATATGCCTTTGAACAAAATTATGCTCTTTTTTCCTTCAACCGTAGGTGTTACCAGACATGGGACTGCCTAATATTTGCTACTTGCATATATAAAAAGACCAAACAGAAAATGCCAAATGACTTTTAAGGATATTACTGACTTAACTTAGATGGTATTTTTATTTACAACACAGATGTTTAGAAGTATGATGGGTCAAAAATTGAGCCCTGATATTAGAAATGGCCATCCATGGACAATTTTTTCTTTCTTCCTAAAGACAGAAAGAACTGGAGTTTTTCCATTAAAAACTCATTGAAACAGTAATGTAATTCAAAGTGTAATTCAAAATTGTTCACATTTAACAAAGTAAAATATAACAGGTGGAATGGATTAGACAATGTTAAATATAGGTCATGCTCCCCAAATTGCTTATAATAATCTATCACTCTGAAGTTAACAAGTAGGTATTCTGTTGTATTTGAGTTTCCAACAGACGAGGATTTCTTCTCCCTACAAACATGAGATGTGTGTTTTCTACCCTTCCCATCATTACAAGTTTTAACTAATGCTTTTATAGCTGTAAAAAGACAAACTAAAAAAAGGTGTTAGTCCAAACGTAAGTATGTCTCCTCAGCTCGAAAGGACTTCCATTAAAACAGTGAAATTATAACCAGTTCACAGCTGGACATCCACTTTTAAAACAACAGTTACTACCACTTTTAAATAACTGTTAACACTTCTTACTAATGCTATTTGCCATTATTAGTGCATTGCACTAATGCAAAATATTCTTAATTACTTACATGCTTCTTAAAAAGCAATACTGTTCTAGAATTCAAATACATAAATCCTCTTCACAACCATCGGGAAAGGCAGAAAAGAGGCAGAAAATCAAGAGTCTCCAGTCAGCAACTTCCAGTTACTCACAGGTGTTTTACTAGACAGACTGTGTAGGCCACTTATCTTGGCTACTTGTTTAGCTGGATGATGTGCAACTACAGATAAAATACTTCTGCAGCCACTACAGAGCCAGAAACACTTTGCTTACATTCAGGTAGTACCTTAGCAGTGTCAGTTTGGGTATTCCTGGTCAGCACTCTCAAAGTCCAAATACTAATAAAAGCAACTCACAAATATGTGAGCAAAAATGAAATCACTCTATCTTCAAGAAGCCACCTTGCCGATCTGAAAACAGTCCCAGAAGAGACAGAAACAGTAGCTTCTTCACCTATGACATACATTGCTACGAGGAGACAGAACCACTGACTCAATACACTGGGGCAACACCTGACCAGTCCACTAGCTTCAAAATTATTAGGAAAGAGAAGTGGACGGGGCAGTTCAAAGCATTTAGAAAGCTACAATGCAGTGCTGGGAAACACGGAAGACTTGCACACAACTGACTGTGAAGCATCAGCTGTGTACTGTCAGGTATCTTAGTACCACACATCCAGAATATGGCAAAAACCAAGAGGATAACAAGGACTGTTCCTAGCATCCCATTCCTTTATTCCAGGTATCACAGAATCAAATTTAGCATTAACAACAGATAATTCAACCTAGAAATAGAAAAAATGATGAAAAGAAACACCAAAATTAAGAACATTACTTCTGTAGAAGCAGGCTTTTTGAGGCAATGGTTACACCTGTCCCATGTTTTAACAGTCACTTAAAGGAAAACACAAATCCTAAATTTAGTACCTGGAAGAAGCCAAAGGAAGAAGCAAAAAAATATAAAAATAATTCTTCTGAATTGTTTTTCCTTTATTGTCTTTAAGACACTTTAATTTTTTTATAAGTACATTTAATTTTTAAAAGTATATTCACTTGGAACACTGGTGATTTAGGTCTGTCAGTCCATGACAGAAGTCTGAAGCAGATATTCTCCAAATCTAGTTAAAGCAAAATAACTACAAATTATTAATTATTTTAAAGTGCGAAAACGAAGAGTTAAAATATATTGCTTTTAAAATTTGTGCTTATATTCTGGCTCTTTTCTTCCAGTATGCCCTGTTGTACAAATGCTTAGCCAAAAGAGTTTGCTATAATTATTTCCTGATCATGCTTTTGTAAGGCATTCATGCTCGTTGGCAGAAGATAAATGCTTGACCTCACATAAAAAAAGCCTTTAAACAAACTAGGATAAAATGCTGACATGGCTAAATAGTAAAGTCAGGTAAACTATCTGAAGTAAATTAGTATGTTTAAGAAAATCAGAATGGTGTCCAAAGAAGGCGAGGGGAGGAGTGACCATAAGCTCTGACCGGTAATGTAGATGTAAAAAATAAAGCAATCATGTTTGAAAAACAAACAGGACAATACATAAAAATCAGCCCTTTAAGAAGAGAGAAGGAATAGCAGATCTGTTAGAGTGCTCCTCCAGGACACAGCACATAAAGAGGATTCATAGGTGATAAAACCCTACAGCAAAAGGACCACCTCCTCTTTTTAGATCTACACAGGGAAAACTGTGGAAACTTCCCACAACAGAATCCTCCTTAAGTGTGCTCATAAGAAGGTAAAGAAAAGCTTACAATGTGAAAAACAATTACGTGCTAGAACAGAAATCAAGAATGAAAGACCCAGTAGCTGTGATGCATGAATTCTCACTTTAAACAGTTTCAGTCTTGTGGAGCTCTGAGAGACAAGAAAAGTGACATTCATTTCTGAAATGGGTTCAAGATGAGAATCAGGAAACAGCAAATCAGTTAGGTTCAATGTTTGTAACCAGAAAAATCTGTATAAATTATTCCAAAGAAAAGAATCAATGAGCACACAATTCCATGCATCTGTTGTAAGGAAAAGCCACATCTCAGTGAACATACTGATACAGCCCACCTGGACTATCAAAAGATATTTACTAAAGTTCCTTCACAAAAGGCTGCAAAGAAACTAAGCTCTTCTAAACAGGCCCTTGCATGACAAATAACCTCACCAATTACTCCATAAAGACAGCCAGTAAACAATCTGAATCAACAGTAGTTTTGTTTGTACTAGAAGGAAGTCCCAGCAGAGTACCACTCGTGAGCATTACATGGAAGAGTAATAAAAAGGCAGACAAAGTAAGCATAAGTACACATGAAGTAGTGGACACTGGCACTGAAGCTTACTACTATCATTCAGGAAAGGGATCTGCTGATACATGAGACATTTCTTTGAAAGCAACAACTCAACAGTAAACTAGAAAAATCTCAGCAGTAAATCAACCAGATGGACTTTTAGAACCACAATATTATTCAGACAACTGTACTAACCTACATTGTGCACTCAACCTCTCAATACCCCTGGAATTTCTGCTCTTCCCTCTAATCTCCAAGGCTGGCATGAAATCATTAGGGATAATGAAAATTATGGAGAAGCTTTCATGTGAAGAACAAAGATAAATATGACTTTTCAGTCTGCATCGAGAATTACTAAGGGGATAGCAGATGTCAATACAATCTGAGTAGTGGAGATCAACCGGGAAGGATGGGACTGAAGGAACACACCAAATGAGATGAACACAGAGCGAGTGAGAGCCAGGCTAATGGATGTGGCTTCAAACTGCCCAGTGTGGTTTTCCTTAGCTAAGAGGGAAGCTCTGGCAATCCTGAGAGGGACACAACTCACTCACGAACTGCTATCACCAATTGCTAAGTCGGTGCCCAGATACCATAATGAAACACACCCACTCTTTTAAATAAGTGTATAAAATACAGTTAGATATCTGAATGCTGGTATAAAATACAGCTCTCCGTTTAAAAGACCTTATTCAAATGAAGTTTGAGCCTTATCACCTCAGTCAGCTGCATGCTTTCCAAAACAGTGATAAAGTTTCATTTAAGAGGGTCAAAAGTGAAACATTGTAATCTTCAGCTGGCAGACAAAACCACAAAGTTTCTGAGGTTTTGAAGCAGATTAGTCACATTTGCAATACAAGCTGGAAGAAAGTAAAGAAGCAGACACACGAAGCATTATGAAACTTCAGAAGACATGCTTTACAGCAGAGCTACCATATGATTCTTGAATTATGAAGAAAATTTGCCTAATTTCACTCACTAGCCATTTACCTGCTTTTCTGGATAAACATCAGCTCATACAAAACACTTGCCCAAAAAGTTGATCAGTAAGTTGAAAAA